ACCTTATCAATTTAGCATTTTTCCAGCTCCAAAAACTACATATGATTTCCATTTTAAAGTTTACAGTAAACTTTTGACTGTCTCAGTCGTATATGTTACACAAAACGTTAAATCTATATAAATAAAATTAGAGTTTTGTCTGTACATTGCTTAGAATAATGAACTTTTTGGTTATTTTTACATTTCATAGGTCAGAGAAACCGAATCAAACCTTATCTCAATTTCTGTCTGTCTGTCTGTCTGTCTGTCTGTCTGTCTATCTGTCATTCTCTTGGTAACGCTAAAATACGCACTTTATTACAACTACTCCTCAATAACTATAGCACTGTCCCGCCTGAAACTTATTTTCCAAATACTATACATATATGAGATGGTTTTAGACGTATTTCATCGAATATGAGACAGTTAGATATTTAACAGTAAACCCTTGAAAATCAAGTTTTTGTCGATTTTTGACGTGGAATTTCTGGAAGCCCATGTTAACCTTATGAGAAATGAAATTATTGAATCTTAACAGCTGTTTCAATTAAACAAGTTGGTTCTGTTCTGTGATGTTCAATAGCATTAAAGTTACAAGGATTACCAACAGGGTGCAGCACTAGCACTATTATTTCTTTTACATTTATGACAACAGCTAATTTGCAACCTGGAGGCGAGTGAGCGTAGCGAACGAGCTAACCTGAAGGCAAGTGAGCGTAGCGAACGAGCTAACCTGAAGGAAAGTGAGCGCAGCGAACGAGCTCCAACATACAGGTGAGTGAGCGTAGCGAACGAACTTCAACCAGGACGTGATTGAGCCATGCAAACGAGATCAGATAGTAAAAATAAAAGTAAGCCTACCGTTATAGGATCGACCGGCAGACACAGAGGTAATTTAACCTTTTATTGATTGTCATACCGATCCGGAACAACAAAAAACAACATAAAATGAAGCTATGTATAATAGTTTGGCCAGCATATCTTAAAATATGCAAACCAACTGCTGTTCTTTATATAAGAAGGTTTCAACTGAATATTATAAGATCCCCGTGCGTAGAACGGGTACACAGCTAGTTATAGCAATAAAATAACACGCCCGAAACGTTCAATTAGTAGGTACAACCCTAGTAATCGTGGGTACAACTACTATTAAAAACAAAACATACTTCAGTTCTAGATTAATTGAACCAAAACTTGCTTATAACTTCGTTATAAATAAAACAAACACGTGTAACAATGAAATCATCTGGTTCGTAAAATAATAAATAAATATCAATTGCACACAGTATTTTGCAATACAACTTCGCAAACGTCATTCATAATCAAAGTTATTATTTGTTCTATGTTGGTACACCTGCAGTCTCTCAACAATCAGCTGTTAACTCATTGTCGCCGAATATTGACGCGTTTCTTTCCAGTTAAGACACACGTCTCCTTAGTGGTCGCAGTGTTTTCTGTGTTTTTTATGTCGACTTCACATATTCTTGTATTTATTTGTTAGCCTACAAATTTAAGTTAGTTAGTGTTCAAAAAGGTTTATAAAGGATCTAGAGTTTTGATTTTTAATTCTTAAAATATTCTAAACACGACTAAAATCAGACCAAACGAGACCAATATCCATTGAAAACGCCTGAAATGCAGAACGGTAATAAAAACTTATTTCATTATGTTAAATATATTTTACACATATTAGACTGTTTATATTTCGATAGTGTGCCTTTAATTTAACCTTAAAAATACCCATTCATTAATAAGGATTGGCAATTGTCTAAACTACTGACTAAACACCCACCTAATTTATAATTTACTTTTGTTTATCTTTGCTGTATATTTGACCTAACTGTAAAAAAACGCGAATTTAACTTCGGTAGGAATTGACAACAGTCAAATACAGTAATAAAATAATGCAGAAACCCAAGTTATAGCGAAATTATATTACTTTTATTTTGAGGCTTTGTGTGGTTTTTTTAACACATGAAATCCTAAAAAGCTTTTTATATATTTCAGATACTGTTTTGGGAAATTCAATTCGAAATCAAATAAGTTAATAATAGAGGAATACGTCTGGATGATATAGCCACCAAGCCAATGAGTTGCTGCCTTTAGTTTCTACAAATTTAAGTCTTATTTGAGTAAGGTAAGTTATAGATAATGACAGTATATTGAATGCATAATATTTGTTAAAATGTAAAATATGCTATTACTTGTAGCAAATTAGCAAATTAGCAAATTGCTCAGTGTAGTAGTGGCATCATACTACACAGAAACAGGTACTTTTCCATCCGTATTGATAGGCTTGTTAGATTAGTTAAGCAGTTAATGCATGTACAGTCCCTATATGTCAAATATAGAGTTAAAAATTCAGTTCTTCCTGGTTCTCCTGTTTCCTACTTAAATAACCTCAAGTTACACTGAATCCTTGTGTGATAAAGTAAATAGCTACTTTTCTATAGAGAAATTCGCTAAAATGAGCAATATGTACATTGATAAAACATGTACATACAGATATGTACATTGGGTAAACATTGATAATATACTCAATCAAATTATTTATGTTCTGTGAGTGTGATTGAACAATATAGTAGACAAATATTTCTGCAGCTTAATCTTTTTGAAAAAAAAAAAAACAAACATATATTTCCACAAAACATTTAATGCTCATAAATTTAAGCTTATTAGGAAATCAATCAGTGTTACCAAGCACATAGCACATAAATATATCTTTTAAATACACTTTACGCCCAACTACTCTGTTAAAACGAACTTCCCACGCAAGGATTTAGTCCGGAAAACAGCTGTTTGCCGCCAGATTAATCAAATGGGGTTTCATTACGTACTACTGTACTGAAATGAGCTTTTACCGAACACCAAACAGCTATGACAATGTTACACACAGCTATTATATTTGGCAATGAGTGATTATAAACAAAAACAACTACTCTTAGAGGATATGAGTAGTGATTCCCGAGCTGTGTTTGGGACATAAGACCTGAAAATGAATAAGTCTCAGGGTTGGATCACTTTTCCTACCCAGGAAAAATCAAATTTCAATCTCACTATCCCAAGCAAAACGAATCAAACTGTCCAGTAAACCCCAAGCTAAATTAAACCACACTTCCTCCCGATTCGGCAATTCGCAGTGCGAAATCCTTTCCAGACTCAATTACAAGAAACTCTTATGTAGCCTGATTTCTTAAAGCCAAGTGACAAGATGCGATTCCTGGTGACAAAGTTATGAAACGTAACGGAAGAATTTCACACCAGTTTCTCGTATATTCCGAACTTAGTGACTCGAACAGAACTGCTCGTGAGAACCTGTGGTTGTCTGTGAGCTGTAAACAGTGTGAGATGTGTCTGAGGCGAGATGCGCTAAAGTCTGTGAGATGTGTCTAATCAAGTGACGTTATCTTGAAGTTGACAAGTGTCATAATGTTTTGGGGGTGAAATAAATAGACAGCGTAAGGTGTAAATTTGAAACGGAACACTGTGATCGTAATATTATGGTTGGTAAATAGATGACTTCACATTTTTGGCATGTTTTGGATTTTGGGGATTTTTTAGATAGTTTGTATGGATTTTTCTAGCTGAGATTGTATTTGTGTACTCATTGCTCCTACATTGCAATTAAACTTAGCTTATAATTGAAATTAATGATGTCTAAACAATTATGGTGTCTTGAGGTATACCTACTTGATTAAATGAATTGGAAGAACTTTAAAGTACTTGTGGGGTAACTGTGTTAAAAACGATACGTTAACAATACTTGTTATACAATTTATATTACACTTTACATGTTTATAAATTATGACACCTTCGTTTCAAATTACTGATTAATAATATTTAATAGTATAGCATAATTTTTTTTTTCAAAACAAACCGTGGATATTGTCTTGAGGCAAACTGTTTATTACATTGTTTTAGTATCCCTTCCATACCATTGCAACATGATCATGGTTTTTCAGGTAAATTATAACTTTAAACATCTTTTACGTAGAATTTACTCGAAAAATTACCGCTCAGAATTTTAGATTTTTACACGTTATCACTTTCCAATCTTTTCATATACATAATTGGTATCTACTATTACTTTTCTGTATGAAATTAGTTTTTATCAATTCAATTTGGTTCTTTCTTTTTATTTTATATTTTAAAATATGGGACTACCCAAAGGTCAATAGTACAGTACTCCAGTGTATTACTCTAAAACTACATTTTGGTTTTTACTTACAGGTTAATTTATTACACACACATATAAATATATGGTGAGATAAAAAGCTTTATTAACTTTTTACATCAAAAGGTAATAAAATATCCAGTGTGTCTGATTAACCCTAGACAAATTATCGATTTCACTCTTATTTATAGCCTACTCACTATCTTTGTATTTTAAATAAATACTCGATGATGGGAATTTCTTCTATTTGTTTGGATTTTCTGTTTATATTTCGTTGTTATTTCATCAGCAGCATGGCAACCCATAAGGTCCAATGTAATTTTTTTATTTCAAATTCATTTTTGTGTTTATTTTGAACCTATTTCAATTTATAAATGTATTCTACACATATTCAGGAAAATATCTTTCTAACAGTATGCGTGGATTTTCCCTGTTGATGCACACAAGCCGAGAAAAAAGTTTGAAATCCTTTGGTAGGCTATATTTTAACTTAACTTTTGTCTAAAATTAAAGTTTGTATGGTTAAAATTTGAGAAATGTCCCGAATTGTTTTTTTGTAATCAAAGCACACACAGCTCAGTGATCATATTCTCAAATTGACCAATTGAACATAGTTTGATCTGCTTCGATGTAACATTCCTTTCAGTACTACTTTTCAAAACGTACACTATCCAACTCTTCTGCATAGCTAACAAGAATTAATGGGTGGTTTAGTTTTTCATAAAAGTAATTAAATTATATTATGACTTTTTTAAATTACAATAAATTGAACAGTGCGTCCAATTTAACACAGCTGAAAAATATATCTAAGTGGGAAGGTTGAATAATCAAGCAGTAAATACTCGTGATTATTTAATTTACAAAAATAATATAGTAATTTCAAAACAACATGTACAGCATCGGTATATACATGACTAGATATATATGCACACTAACATAAACATTATGAAACACCAGTGTTAAAGCATTTATTGTACATTAGCCAAGCTACAATGAGCAGTTGAGCATATTCAGGTGGAGTTTAGTTTTTTTTGCAATAAATACATATGTACATACGAGCAATATGTAAGCGGTAGTAAAATCTAAATTTCAAAATCGTATAAGTTTTTTGAGTAATGTTTTACGTAGGTACATTGTATAAGAATTTTCAATAAAACAGTGTTTGTATGTATTACACAACTCCTAAATGAAACGACAACAAATTGTAAAAATATGGAAAAAGACACAAAATTGCAGCACTATCACTTAAACAATTTAAGACATCAAACTATAAATAAACTATAATTACATCACAATACATCTTTGTGCAATCAAACGCTTTTGACATTTGATTTTGTTAAAATATAACATAAGCTAAGGAAATAAATATATCCTTTTTACAAAATGCTTTGAGTATTCTAAACTAATAAAGTGTATCGTTATGTACAAATAAATATCAAATCGTACACCAACATCAATCCCAGTAGAAATCACAAGCTCAGTCCACAGTTTTGCATGTGTTTCTACCATTTTAATCATATAGAGTAAAAGCTAACTAATATTAAAATAAATTATCACGTTCGTAAAGCTATGACTAAATAGAAGGACGGACTTTGTACACTGGCAAGACATGTTACATTTGTACAATTTGAATGTTTCTTTACTTCTTAAGACGTCATTTATTAGTGATATGGATAAAAGCAATTGTTTGTGGTTTTAATTTACTAAGTAAAATGAAAATATTTGATTCATTGGTACGTATCTCCTTCCCCGTACTGGGAGTCTCTTACTTGAAAATTCGAATTTTTCAGTTTCTTCTTTTACTTGTAAAATGTTGACAGCATATATTGTTCCCAAAAGAAACCGGTTTGAATAAAATAGTTTTTATTCATTTTAGTTAAGTTTGTATGGCAGTGTAGCAAAAGTTAATTGAGGCGTAAAAACACATATATAAAAATATTTTTTATGAAGGAATGAGGAAAATCGCTGGTTTGATTTGAAGGACCTTTAATAGCCCACACGGAACGGGCATTAAATTGACGATTTTTAATAAGGAATCCTAGCTAAAGAAAGATCTGTAAAACTGTTGCAAAGCAACAAAGGGCCTTTCAATAAAAGTTTATTCAACTTTGGGTTAAAACCTGTCTAGTTGCATTTCCTTCTCAATTGAGTATACAACGTGAAAATGGCCCGATAAAATTGCATCAACTTTTTATGTCAAAGTTCCATTTGTCAATTAAACAGAAGTTATATTAGATATCAAGCCACTTTTGTGCTGTCTACTTTATTGATATAGTGATGAAAATAAAAATTAATGAAAATGTGGCTACAGATAAAAACATTGTGAAAAAGCATAACAGTCCAGGAATTTGCCGAATAAAAAATGAAAAGAATCCGCGATTCCCGCTCTGATTTAGAATAATTCCACCCGGACGGTAACTAATAGCGAGTGATTTGTTGGGAATTAGTCCGACCTGAATATCGGGCCACCCATACCGCGCCATACGCCACGGCGATGGTATCTGGGCTATCGATCATGAAGGCCTCGCAAGGCGGCGCTGATACACTGATAACGACCCGTCAGATCACCTGATAACGGCCAAGTTACCGGCAGCAACATGGCGGCCAGGTGGACAAAGAGTTGCTCTTTGTAGGCTGTGAAAATAATCGAGATAATGATGGCACTTTTTGACCTCGAAGTTGACTTTTGAAAGGACTTGGAAGTTGAAGTATTTAGGCTAGCAATAGGTGTTTACAGAAGTTTTATATAGTCAAGCTATTTATGCTTCAAGCATTTAAATTTTTGTATGTCCTTATTCCACATCCTAAGAAACTACCATAGGCTCTACCCTGAAACCGTTTCACACAAATCTTCTGGCTAGGCCTATAAGTTTGTGATCACATGCCTGAAGTAGTTGCTGATGTGCGGGATTTGGACCCGAGACCTTTGAGGCAGAATCTCCACCCTCTACAACCAACTCCTTTCTCATTACATGTTTACCCTCTTTAAGATTGCATAAATTAGGAATTGTTGTTTAAAAAACAAACTTGGTGGAAAGGTTGATCGTTATTGGTAGAGTACGGGGGAAGAGATTAGTAGTGAATATATTTTCAAAATAGTTGAGATGTGAGATACATAATATTTCTTTGGCTTTATCAAAATTGCTTAAAGGAGACAAACTTATAAAACATTTAAACAGTCTGACATTTCAATGAGTGTTAATTGTCTATACATTGAACGTTCTGGATTTGTATCAACAAAACTTCAGCACTTTAAGTGATTCCAGTCAAATACAGATTTACATTTTGGAATTCATACAGAAACGATATTATCATTAGCTTTTTGACCAACCAAAACGTAGACATTTTAAAATGCCCTTCTAGAGAAAACCGGATTTGTTTACTATAGATATTTTGGCGTGTGTTCTATCAGCAGGAGACGGTAAGCGGCTCCTGAGAGTTGTGATCCTCTTCGTCGCGGTCCTCAGTGGCGCAGGACTCCTCACTGCCGGAGTCACCGCAGGAGCGCATGGAGGACTCCGTGCCCGGGGGTGGGGGACAGGCGGCGGCGCAGGACGGGCAGTAGCCGTGAGAGGGTTGGCCCGCGGGAAGGTAGACCTTGCCGCACCGTAGGCACTCCTCCTGGGTCTCACCTGCTGGAGTATGGTGAGGTTAGAGTTTGTTTACAAATAGACTAAAATATCATGTGGGAGAAACTATAAGCTGAGAATAATTTGTTTTGGAAGAAATTACAAAAAATGTGAAGATAGTGCTATTCTGATGTAGGCCTAATAGTAGAATTTTTTTATTAGCAAGGGTTATACTAAACCAAAAACCTGATGACGACACTTCAAACCCCCTTATTTTTATCATGAATTTAAATTAAAAAAAAAATATATGTAGGCCTACTATCTCAAACGACGAGGAAAAACTATTAGATTCACATATAAATTATCTTCGCTGGTGCACCTACTAAATGGTAAGGAAAATACAGTACCACATAAACAAAATGTTCACAAACTGAAGATCGTCTTAAGCTAAATTTACTTTTTGTAGAATTAATTTGTAAGCAGATATTATTTAACTAGACGTGTTGTATTGAGCAAGTTTGAATTTTCAAGAATACATGAGATTACATTTAAGGTACTAAATTTACCTCGAACAATCATTAAATCACGAAGAATTAACAAGTTTACCAACACCAAATGAATGAAAACATTACACATGAAATTCCAGAAATTTAGATTCTAAGTTATTCAACCACTGATTGAAGGTTGTCCAAAAGTTTGCCGGTTGTTCCGCCCCAAGCGATGTAAGGCGCCACGGTCCGATAGGCCTGATTCACCCTAATCATAACAATCAAATGCTTAGGCTAACCAAATGGAATTTTGATGAACGGGTGGTAGACTACCTGTGTCACCGGTCTAATAACATCAATACAGGGCTACAATCAGACCGCGATTTTGTCATTTTATTACGCCTTTCCCAGGGTGAGGGACTGGGGTTTGGAATTCCTTGATCATAGCTTCCAAATCTCCGAAGTACATAACTTCTGCTTGGGGTGATTCGAATGATTCTTTATATCTAACGATTTGATACTTGCAGTTGTCAAAGTATGTGTTTTTGGTACCAACTTGGTATTGATTCAAATTGATCACGAATTATTATATGATAATTTGTGCAATTGTATACAACAGCTATTACAGTTTAGGATAACCATTACAAACTAGAGTCCTTTTCCGTTAACACTACTACTGCTTTTTTATTGCAATTTTCTTTATTCACTACCAGAATCAGAAAGTTTGGTTCGTTTTATAATTAATTTATTTATAGACTAGGCTAACTGTTAAAAATATCGGAATTGCAATAAAATAAGTAGTGGTTGTAGATTAACGGAAAAACCCAATTTTTTTCTCGTATCTACGCCAGTGGCATTTTTGTAATGAAGTCCATCCACTTTTAAGGGAAAGCGGTCCAAACCCATTAAAGTTTTGTGGATGTGTCGAGGATTGAACCCGTCCTTCCCGCGCCCTAGAAATTAGATCAGAAATGGCATTACTCATGAACATAAACAAATCTTATACCGAAAACCGTAACAAAGGACTCGAAAGTATATGTTTGTATTATTATCAAACAATGTTAAAACTAGATGTTAAGGCAAACGATTCACACAACTTACGTAATTTGATTATGTTAAAATTCATACCATTTCGTCCTAATATTCGTTGGATGACTTATCATATCTTAACACTTTATTCTCTAACATCACTGGCACACGTTATGTTTTTGAAAAGAGAGTCAGTTACAAACCACAAAGCGCACGGTCAAATTTGAGTGGCCCGGAGACCCTATGATTTGGAAGATGGTCCCCTTGCCATAACGTCCCGCGTAATGCGCCACCACAGCCCACAATTGGCGTCGTCTGAGGCTGATACGCTTTTAATTTTTAAAAGACTCCAAACAGTCCGTAATCACCGTCCCACAGGTGGTTTTGCTGCGGGGAAAATACCTTGGAGACATTGCCAAACCATGGTTAAAAGTAGAATGTATAACGTAAAATATCTTGAGCTATGATTATCATGCACTGCTTGTACATTCAAATGGTAGTCACTGACAACGATATGTCGAGTCTTAGACAACCGTTTATTTTCCCCATTAGATTAAACACATGTTTGTTGATAATTTATTTGTGAAAAACACGGTGGCACGGTGATCATTATTTGTTATGACGTTGTCTATGGCATTATGTTGTAAAATCGCAGACCAGGGCAATAATCCCCATTGCCACTCAATTATTTTGCCTTCGGTAAAAACCAATATTCAAATAAGGCAAATGTAAACGTGCATCATCTTTCTTTTATTCAATTTGTTAATGGGATTCTTCACTGTGAAAATTATTTATAGCTCAAACACACATACGTACATACGTAAAATAAATAACTAAATGTAAATGGAGGAAAAGAGTTGAAAGTGAAACACATAGCATTTTGAATTGCAGATGAATACTTTTTCTCAGTATTTTTATCATACAAATTAAAGATAGGCTACTCTTTTGCTTGGGTTTTCGAATCAGTCACAAACCCAAGCAAACACCATTGGCAGAAGGTATTTGTCCGTTTTATTAAGTTTTTTTTTCTTTTGAAAAAATCTAACCAACAAAATGTTTCCAAAAACACTAACCTTCATGCGTCTTCATGTGAGCCCGCAGGTTGCATGCTAAAGCGAACTTCTTGTGGCACAGTTCGCAAGCGTGAGGCTTGTCTCCTGAAAACAAACAATTCCCTTAAACACAAAGAATCAACGTATATTTTAGTATGAATAGTAAGCTATATAACTTATTTAATCATCTACGTTGAAGGATATAAATGTAAGAAATCTAACAAAGGAGGCACTGCAGTTCAAAATGGTGTGATCGTTACAAGGCTATTGCGAAAAAGAAAGGATGATTTAATTTAATACAAGTCTTCAATTGGGATTTCCCAATGTATTAGTGTTATCACTATCAGATGTGCAATGCCTAATCATCCGCAATGCCACTAAGTAAGTACACACAAATATAACATCAACTATAGGCTAAAATAAATATGTTTAAACCATTTACAAATTTTTAATGAAGTGTTTTCTATCTTTCTTTGTTAGTAGCTCAAGTAGTATCTATAATAAAATTATCCTTCAATTAACGTGATTTTAACCACTAGTTTGTCATGGGGTGAATCACAGTTTCCCCCATAGTCTGGTCGCTGAATAAAGTTAAAGCTGCACTAGTAGTTGAAATATTACAGAGTTTGTCACCTAATGTAGACGGACTTCCGAAATAGTATATTACGTTAGTCATCCTGAAAATAAGGATTTTGGACGAGTTACGTACGATAGTTTACGCCATACTACTAAATCTGTACAAATCCTTTTGTTACCACCAACTAAAGGACTAAAAACCACTAGTCAATAACCTCTAAGAGAGGATATGTTTTTGTTTATAGCCACTCATTGCCACCCAAATACAGTATAATCATCTGATTGGTGTCCGGTAAAACTCATTACAGTACAGTAGTGCGCGATGAAACCCCATTTGATTAAGCAACCAGCTGTTTTCTGGACTTAATCCTTGCATGGGAAGTTCGTCAAAATAGTGTAGTGTGGCGTAAATTTAATAATGTATTTCTAACCAATTACCGTATTTTATCAACTTTTTTCCAACAAAATCGATCAAAGTGTATGTGATCCTCTGACATGTTGTCATGCACAGTTTTGCAACGCACTATGACCGTTCGATCAACAGAAACAAAGCTACGCTGCTCGCTGAATGGTGAACCAGGTCAACGCGGGGCTCAAGGCTCTTCATTATTCAAACAATTGCTATTTCTAATTAGGTCAAAATCGATTTCGCGCCAAAATCCAGCGTGGTATTAATTATTGTTTATGACTGATAGGTCGACCGCGGGCTATACAGCTTGTCATTTGCATTACGGTATTGTCTAGGTGACGTTTGACTATCGATTGTTATCGGATCGATTTAGTTTGATTCGATCCAATCGGATTTTGATTTGTATACTGTAAATACGTTGGTCTTGTGAAAACTACTATTAAAATTTTTAACAAAAGTAAAGTGACGATGATAGTCTGTGATGGGAAATTTATAATATGAGCGATTTATGTATAATAGCTGTAGATATCGCAATATCTATATGTTTGCATTCAACAATAAATGATAAAATTCATGGTGAAAATTACAGCTGTGTTAATGTTTTGTGGCGTAACAAAAAAAGAATACTATAAGGAAATGTAATTCAAGGTAAAGTATATTTTAGACGAGACTTTTTGGTGATATACTCAAAACATGTTTGTGCATTGGGTTAGCGATTTTTAAGCTTATTTTGTGGGTGTTTTTCTAACAAAATTAAACACCAAATTGCTGGAAACTAGATAACAAAACAATCACATCAATTTTGAATGTGAAATGCCAAACTCAATTTTTCCTTCCTTAGATTCACACACTCACTTACAGTGTATTTTCTTAAACACACTGAGTTTAATCTCAACAAAGAATATATTTCACGTGGTACTCGAAAATTATTAAGTAGATTTTTACCCAAATTTAAGACATTCTATCGTTACTTCGTTCTTATTTCTAAACAATCCCTCCTTCTAAAAAATGTTAACACTTTTTCACATTACAATGACGTACTTAGTTTATGTATATGCACCATAACTGCGTGTGAGTTTAGGATTATATAAATTATAAGTGTGGCTTTGGTACTAACGAAGATCTGTCTTTTTGACCAGTATTTTTGCTAAAACCCCTATCATAAGTATGGCCGGGTCCAGTTTTTAACCTTCGAAAAGCTGCTGTATCTCAGTTTCGAATCCATAACATTCTTACTGTCGACACTATATTTACTCACATACTACTCAACTAACTGAAAAAATCACATGAAAACACACAGCTACTGAAACAACACCACTTCATCCCGAATCCAGCCATTGTTTCCCTCCGATCCCTCGGGAACTGACACAAGCTTGTGACTCCGGTTGACAAATTCTGCCGAGGGACGGCAGTCTAGTAATTGACAGACGATCTGCGATACAGACTTCAACCTGATTGACAATCATTACTTAATGACTCTAATCTGTGAATCGGCTGTCGTGTCGGCCATATTTAATTACCTCGCTGATCCTAATTCGGTTGAGAAGTTAGCTACAGTATCTGAGACAAATATCAGGTCTATTGTGAGCGGACAATACCAAGCGGCCTTATAGGGTTTCATTATTTTGTTGAGCGTCTTCGGGTAACTTTGTTGGGGACAAATGGTGGGAATTGTAGAAGGGAATAGTTGTCAAAATAGGGTTACGTCCTGGAATGGAACTTGGGTAAACAGGTTTTCTGATTTCAGTATTTCCACAAACCTTTTCTCAATGTTTAAGGGATTCAAAAATTAAATGGTTCTTCTGGCCGCTCAAAAACCATCGTGAATGTCTTTATATGAAACATTGGTGTTATGACACCAAGAAACATAAATTTAAATGTTTGTTCTATTGTACAAATATTTTACGTGGATCTTTCGTTTGGCCCCTAAATTATTGGTACAGAAATGACGTGATGACATTATCGAACCTTAAGCCTATTATTTATTTAATTATTTTCCCAATAATCTTGTTTTACTAAAGTGTAAAGTGATGATATTAATTACTATGATTGCCAATAATTGAGATGGAGATGCCACGTAGGTGCGTGATTTAAGTGGAGTGAAGGATTTGTGTAGAATGAAGTGAAACGCCTTGTGTAGCTTTGTTACTTGCTTCGATAAGCTTTTTCGTTATCCAGGACCATTTATTAAGGGCACAAATGATCAAGGACAGCTGGGTATGGTTTCAAACCTTAATAAAAGCTACCAACTATTCTCAGGATCGAACCGGCGACCTTTTGATTACTAGGTGAACATTATAACCACCCGTTTAGCTGGATGAATAAAACCATCGATGTATATAGACTATAAGTTAGGTTATATAAATCGATGTATAAAACAAGTAAGTGGCAAAAATGCAAAAAGAGTTTTTATTTACAGTCTTCTATGGTCTATACTATCTAATCTGGTGTATTGCAGGACAACTATGAACTAGAAAATAGTTCTTAAAGGAACAAACTATTTTGTAATGTGAATATCCTCCTTATGATGAGTTGCGAAATTTAACTTTTATCAGTAATGTAGGGATAAGTTTGTGATTTTCAGTTCTTTTGTAATCATTGTAACGTTTCATGGTAAATTTTGTACGCCTGCATTTTCCCGTATATCTTCGTTACTATAAACAATCGACACGTTACAAAAGACTGTTGGGGTTTTCACTAATGAACATCTAATTATCCTATATTTACAGCCGCAACATGTACTTAAAACAACCAATAACACGTCAATAGTCGAATGTCCGATTAAATTCGCATCTCACAGTTTGAACCACGATTTAATCGCCATAAATAATGGCGGCCTCAATGCTATCACCGGTTGATAATCGGGCAGCAAGCTGCGCCTATTTGCTATCAAGATAGGATCTGCGCAATCAATTTACCTGATTCTAACTAATAGCGCAGTGTGATGCCGCAAGCACCGCCATGTTTGTGTGCAAACGTTCAAATATGTTTTTGTCAAGTTGGATACCCTGTGGGTAGTGTCCCTGGTTAAAGGCCCCCACGCTAGTGTATAGACCATATGATTATGTAGTGTGTCATTGTTGAAATTGGAATGATTATTGCAGCTGAGATATTTATTGTTCTTAGATTCTCATTGCTTCCTAAATTATAATGTAGACTCCATTCACGTGTGGATATCTTTACAAACCATTGATTTATCCCATGATTGTCTTTATTATAAAGCATAAAAGGAGTAGGTGTTTTTTGTGGGATTTTGGATATTCCTTTTAGACGATGCGAGCTACAGGGTTTCAAATTGGTGGTATTTGTCTAAGAGGAGTTTACTTCAAGACACTTCATTTTACTTAAGGAGAACAGAAAAGAATTGTACTGAATTTCACTCAGAGATAAATTGTAGTTTGAGATAGGACAAAGGCCTTTTGGTGTTTGATATATTAATTTGAGACTTCACCTTGAACCAAAAGTGCTCATGAGGAAAATGCCCTTTCCCACAGATTCAGATGAGCCAGTCCGATAAAAACACTAAGATATATAGTACAACAATCTTCGCATCTATATCAAAAAAACTCACAAAACCCACCGTAAAAATCAACACTCGCACAACTATGTATCCTACACTTGAGATAAAGCAAGCCGCCAACAGATCAGGATAATTAATACGAACCGATGTCCAACCAAGTGAGGCGGATAATTTACATTGCGGCGGAACATATGGACAAAAGCGACGCAGAAGCGCAGAGGAAGTAATATTTAATCGGTAAGTTCCCACGCATGTATCAACCGAAAAACAATCGGGCGGGTTTAATCAGGACGGGGGGCCGTGCAAAACAAATTGCAAAAGGGTTCAAGTACACGGCGTACTCCCATTGTATGCAGAGGCCCACCCGAGAATAGGGACAAAGACATTAGAACGTTAATGACGACTGGATGATCCGCTACCTGATCGTTAATGGAGTACTCCTGTGGTTAGAGCCTGATGACTCCGGCCTTTTTAATTTCGACCATTGGCTCAAGTAGGTGGTCGTCGAGTCGTCTCGTTCTCGTCTTCTTATGCTCTGTTTTTCAGCCTCGTTCTCAATCTGTTCTCGTTGTCGTGGGAGTTTCGGCTTTTTAGGTATAT